TCAACATTGCTAATTAATAAATTGCTTCTTTTTTAGTATATATATATATATATATATATATATATATAGTTTTAAGATGTGGTATATTTATGAGATAAATTGCTCAATATCAGAGATAGAGCGTATGTAAATATAAAAGTGAAAATTGAAGTCAACTCTTAGAGGAGACAGGCTGTTTCATGCTAGACGCAATCGTCAGGCCGCCAGACGATTGCGTCTAGCATGAAACAGCGTGTCGCCTCTAAGTGTTGACTTCAATGTTCACTTTTATATATATATATATATATATATATACATACATACAGATAGATAGATAGATAGATAGATAGATAGATAGATAGATAGATAGATAGATAGATAAAGAATTAAGTTTGGATAAATTGAACAGCACACGTGAACCAAAATCGCGTACGGAATTCATCCATTACTCTTTGAATATGGTCGGATAAAGTTGGAAGCTGTGGAGGGCCCTAATCGCTAACACCGCGAGGTTGTGGCGAGCCATGATCACTCACATCCTGAAGGGACACAACGCATAGAAGAAGAAACTAGCCTCTTTTACTGTGTCAAATAGTTTGACCTCATTCTACAAAAGCGATGTGTTCCTATTTCTCTATATATCTGCCTTAAGAAATTGAATCTTCCGCGCCCGACAACAGTAAGTAATTGTCGAAGTCGATATCCAAAAGAAAATCCAGACCTGAAATCTTTCCATTGTAAACCTAAACAAAAAAAAAGAAAAAAAAAGAAAAAAAGAAATACTGAACCAAAAAAAGAATAAGAAAAAAAAAAAATAAAAACAATTCATACAATGTTCATGCCCCGTAATAGTCAATAGACATCAAATTTAAAAATAAAAGGATTTAAAACATTTCTTTTTTTGGTCTAGACACACCTTGCTTGCAAGATAGTTTTATTACTCTAGAATCAACATTTGCAGTTCATTCCCCAGGTCTACAACAAGTTTATACAATAACACCTGAAGCCGAAGCATACAGAACTTAAAAAAATTACAAGAGCCAGTCCGCATCAGGTCTGCCTTTAGAATTACTTTGATGCTACTGACAATACAAAGCAAAATCCTTTCTTTTTTTTCGACGTTTGTCGACAGGCTTGTTTAAATAATAAAAAAGGGCCACAAAGATTATTGCCTACAGTGAGTTTGACACTATTGTACAGCAAGTAAGCGAAGTTCTTTGTTTTCGATTTAAAATCTAGGCAAACATTCTCCGTGTCGTTTTATTACTGAGCGAGCTATGTGCAGAATCGGTTAAATAAAACTGAACTTGCTTTATTGCAGCGCTGAAATGAATCATTGTAGCAAAAGAAAAAAAGACGGAGGCACATAAACATGCTGACATCTATCTATCTATCTATCTATCTATCTATCTATGGAAAGTCTTTTCATATCTATCTATCTATCTATCTATGGACAGTCTTTTCATATCTATCTTTCTATCTATGGACAGTCTTTTCATATTTCTATCTATCTATCTATCTATCTATCTATCTAGATAGATTATTGACATCAATTAGATAGACTCTTGATTTTATTATTTAGAATCTTGTTTATTTGGACATTTAGACACTAGATTTTTTTTACAGAATTCTAAATTTATACTTTCATTTTTAAGGACTTGGATGTGTATACCGAGGTGTTTTTTGTGATTCATTTAATCGGAGGTGAGCAATTTTCTTGGCTGCCGTTTTCAATATACAAGCAATTTGTGATCACATTCAAATTTGGAATTGTATATTCTAACATTTGTCAAATACTGTCTAAACCAAGGTTATGAGATGCTGAATTCAACAATATTTTGTTATGTTATCTGTGCTATGCCATGTGATGTAGTGTTTCGTAGAATGGGCGAATCATGTGTTAAGGATGGAATATGTTTTTGAGTAACAAAGGTTTCACAAGAGTTCGCCATTTCTGTTTCAGGCGCCCTCTTCAAAATATGATGTCTTCATACCACGAAAGACGCAGTGACGTTCAAAAATATTTAAGGCAGCATTAATGCAGAGTTTTTTTTTCTAATATACAAAGTTTACTTAATCCAGTGCAGAATTTCTATATTTTTATGTTGAAATAGACTTGAGATATAAACGGGATTACATATATATATATATATATATATATATATATATATATATATATATATATATATTATGAAATGGACAAAGTCCGACAATTATTTAAAGATATTTTTATGTTTAACATTCTTTTTATAGATACAAGTATTTAAGTAAATGCTCTGTTTATAATAAACAGTATTAAACAATATTCACCGGCCTGAATGTCCGAGAAATTTTTTTATAGAAACACATGTTTAAATGTTGTTAGATAGATAAATAGTGGTAAATGTACGAGCAAGCGTTTCGCATACAAATATATATATATATATATATATATATATATATATATATATATATATATATATATATATATTACAGGTGATCGATCAATCAAAATTAACTACTCCTGCACTGATAATATTTACGAAATTATTAATTCCCATCACAATAACATTTCAAATAAATTCCATGGGAGAAAAACTAAATCTAACATGGAACGCCCCTGTAATTGTATAATTGAGGAAAACTGCCCAGTAGACGGCAAGTGCAGATCCACTACGGCAGTATTCTAGGCAACCATTACCCCTAAAGAAAATACGACAAACCATAATATTTACATCGGCATTTCTGCAGGAGAATTTAAAAAGAGAATCAATACACATAGACATTCATTCACCAATTCAAAATTAAAACACCAAACAGCCATTTCGCAAAGATTTGGGGAATTGAAGGAAAAAGGTCTGGATCCTCAAATAAATTGGAAAATTCTAGGTTTCGCGAACACACCCAATAGTTTTAGGGGTAGGAGCAAGCTATGTTTAAAAGAAAAATCAGGATAATAAAATATAAAAATCAATGCAAACTATTAAATCAACGGAGAGAATTAATCACAAAATGTAGACAGAGAAAAAAATTTACAAATTACATAAGAATACATGTACATATATGTTGGAGGGGTATGTGTACGTATAGTGGCATATATGTATGAACATGTAAATGTACATATATGTATCTATGAAGATATGTACGGATATATGTGTGTTGGACAACATGATTTATTCCATTGGGTGCTCTGTTATGACCTACAATCTATAAATCTGTATAACTCAACTAATTTACATTAATCTTTAGGTTTAAATCCCCCATCGCTTATTAATAATATTGTAGTGCAAAAACTATTTACTGTGAATCCCTGAAAATGACACTAGGTGCTTGTATAAGAAACGCCACATAGTAGGAACTGATATTAAACTACAAACAACCAAACGTCCTGGTCATAAATAAACTCCAACCCCAGACTGTTTACCCCGGGATAAGATATCTTACCCGTCCACCACCAATCGCTAACACAAACCCATTCTCATTAACAACGGCTTGAAATAGACTACTCTCTGTGTTGAGGTAATTTTTGTTTTTAGCTATATATATATATATATATATATATATATATATATATATATATATATATATATAGGGCAGGATGTGTGTGTGTGTGTGTGTGTGCAACGAATGCACGGACGTAATTTTCGACGGATTTGCACCAAAATTTACATGCACATGCTCCAAGTTAGTGGAAAGACCAAGACCGACTTTGCATTTCCCAACTCCCATTGATAGTGGAAATAATCGATTTTTTCATGCCTCTACGGCACTTTTCATGTAGTTTGCGGCCATTTTGTACTGACCAGAGTGAGAGCCTATAGCTGGCTGACACGAATAGGCAGGAAGATTCTATTGGCTAGCGTGAGAGCCAACAGCTGACTGACACGAATGTTAACTAGCATGCTAGTATGCAAAAAAAAAAAAAAAAAATCGATAGCTGCATTCGTCACAAGTGGGAAAAATTTAAATCTGCATGGCACTTTACTCCAATTGGCTCATTTGCTTGCTTAAACTCAACGTTTATTCTGATTCCGCAGAACTGGGTTGGGTGTGAAAAAGTTTTTGTTGTTAACATTCTTTTTTATTCGATTTTTCCAGTTACGAGTCCTTTTTTAAAGCTGATCGTTTTGTGTTCATTTTGTTTAGTCCTTTTTTCGTAACAGATTTAATGTTTAGTATAGAGCTTAGGAAAAAATTCGTAGGGTGAGATAGGCAAGAAGTAAGGCATGTAGCAACATCAACACGCCAAAGGGCACTCCTTTAAAGGCAAGGAAGGGCAAAAATATTTTAAGTCAAGTGATAGCGATTGCTGTATGAGTCGTACGATTTTTGAATCAATCCGGGCCATGCTGCTAGTATATATATAGGGTGTTGCAGCAAAATCCGACACTTGACAAAAAGAAAACGAAATAGGCAATAAAAACAAAAGTTGTATATGCAGATACCCGACAGTTTATTTAGCGTTACAATTAGAGTTACATACTATATTATTTTTCAATGTAACCGCCGGCGGCGGCGACGACCATCTCAAGGCGGGGCGAAATGAGTCACACGCTTTGGCGACCATGTCCTTGTTCATAGCGGCGAACGCCTCCACGATGACAGCCTTCAGAGAATCGACCGTATTGTGGACGTGCTTGTTGGTCTTGGCCTCAATCACGTCCCAGAAGAAATAGTCAAGTGGGTTGCAGTCGGGTGAGGAGGGCGGCCACAAGTCCGGCGAGCATTGTTGAGCAGCCAAGTCTGAGTCGTCTTGGCATTGTGTGCAGGAACGTAGTCTTGCTGGAAGACGTAGGGGCGTCCGGCGACGATCTCGTCCATCCAGGGCTACACCACGCTCCTCGGCACCTCTTGGTAGATCTCAGCGGTGACTCTCAGGCCCTTTTGAAAGAAGAACGGAGGCATGACGTCCTCCTCGCTGGAGATGACGCCAAGGAACATGACGGAGGAGGGAAACTTTGTATGCTTCACGACGGGAACCTCCTCGGTGACTGTGCAGATCCACCTGCCTGTCCTTCTGCCTGTTGCTCGTCTTGTCCTGGATGAAATTCTTTTCACCCAGAGAAGAACCTCAGCATCCCAGCGGACCTGTGCTTGAGCTCGTTCAGCAAAGCCGCCGCCTTGACCTTCCTCGACTCCTTGGAGGCATTCGTGTTGAGAATACGGTGAGACTTGCGGTAGGAGAACTAATCAATGCCCTTCTTGATCGTTCGGAAGATCGTCAACTTTTGACAGCCCATGTCAGCGGCGATCTTGGCGTTGCTCTGGCTTCCATCATTGTCGTAATCCGTATGGATAATTTCAAGGGGGGTGTAATCTAGAGAGCTCAATGTAAAAACAGAGCAAATATTAATTATATTAAGAAACAGACAACTTTAAGGGTTCATGGGATTATAATTATTTTCCCTAGGATCGGAATTTTGTTTCTAATTCATCAGATCTCTATTTATATATTTTCATATATATATATATATATATATATATATATATATATATATATATATATAGGTTTATATATAAAATAAAAGTTTACTAAATCAGTGAAATTAAGTAACCATTTTTGCCGTCATAGTCATAAATTTAAAAAAAAAAAAATGTAACCTCATATACATACTTAAACTTGATGTTAAAATAATCCTACATAATATAATGGATTCTAATACATTTAACTGCTCTTAAAAAGAATATAGTAAAATAAAAATTAAAAAGGAGAATATTTCAAATCGTAGTTAAATAAAAAGTATTAGAAAAAAAAAAAAAAAAAAAACCGAAAATCTTTAAATTTAAAAAATGACGTTGAAATTTTTTTACCGTTAACAATTTAAAAAAAAAAAACATTCAGACGACATCCATTCAACTGATGTCAGGTTTCATTGTAAAATACATCCCTAGCCCTCACCAAATTGTAGCTAATAACTGATACAATGATACTGACATAAGGAAAATCTAGACATCCCTTGTTCAATTTAAGTAGAATATTCTGTAACCATGGAAACGTGATTTTAGCTGTGTCTTTAAAACCCGGTAATTTTTAAAAGTTACTCCAAAATTCGCTTGAAGATGAAATGGAACTAATGCTTTTAATTTAATTGCAAAATTAAATTCGGGGTTTTTAGCTTCTATTTTTGAAACATGGTTGGAAGTGTGTAGGGAAAAAAACCATATTTTAAATCAATTAATTTATAATATTAATGCTCTGTAAATTTACATTGAGCACTATTTTGTAAAAATAAAAATATCCATAAGAACACCGGATTTTATATCTTACTGTTCTTTCTTTTTTTTTATTTATATATATATATATATATATATATATATATATATATATATATATATATATATAAGTTGGATGCATAATCCGGAGTTCCTTAGTATTTTTGTTTTTATTTTTAAGAAGACAGTACTCAATACAGAAGTAGAGCTTTATTATAATAATATTTTTTGTTTAAAATATGATTCCTTCTTACATAAGATTTCTCATGTTTCAAAAACGAGAGCCGAAACCATCCAAATAATTATTAAAATTAAGTTGAATTGAGGTGATTAGTCCCGTTTCATCTTCAAGCGAAATTTTAGGAAATGTTTTGAAACATGAGAAATCTTATGTAGTGAAGGAATCATATTTTAAACAAAAATATTATATTATATATATATATATATATATATATATATATATATATATATATATATATATATATATATATATTAGTCAGATTAATGACAAATTATTAAAACTTCTCTGTGACTCGTTTCGTACTTTAGGACTACATCGGACTAGAGTAATGTTTTGTTTCAAGGAAGTATCAATGTTTAGAAAGGAAAGTGGAAGAGCAACACTACTGTTTTTATATTCAGCCCTCCCCTTCCTAGTCTGACGAAGTCTTAAACGATGAAACGCGTCAAACAAAATGTGTTGCACTTTGTCATTAATTTGCCTAACATCGTCCTTATATCCCATGGCCCAGTGGATGAAAGTGTCTGTATTCAATACCTAGCTACAGCAGAGGGGAACAAGAACTTGGAGAGTTAGTAAAGGGGTGTGGGTGTAAACTGAAACTGAGATAAACAGAAAAGGCATGGCACGTGGAACCAGAACAATCTACTCCGGTAAATGAAACAAAACGTATAACACGTGAAGAAGGTCGGCGCGTACAATGGCCGAATGTATGAAACTGCATGAAAGTTTTAGAACACTTTTAAAAAGCCTTATAAATAGCTGCTCCCACTTATACGGTAGACACACATAGACACACACACACACTTCTATCTATCTATCTATCTATCTATCTATCTATCTATCTATCTTTTTATATTTCTAGCTATCTTTTCTGGTTTGTTTCTATATTTCTGTGTATCTAAACATCTATCTCAGTCTTATAATTTGCTATCTATCCTAGTCTGTTTACATCTATCCATTTTCCTGTGGTATACAGTCAATAATTATATATTATAAATTTGTAGATTAGTCAGAGTGCGTGTTAGACGTTTATTCCAGAATAAATGATAAAAAAACATTCTCCTAATTATACTATTATATATATATCCGTATATGACTGTCACATTCTGTGCCTATGTATCTATATTCTCTCTCTCTCTGTATATATATATATATATATATATATATATATATATATATATATATATATATATATATATATATATATATATATGAGCCCCTGTTATCAACGTGCACATTTTTTCTAAGGTCGACCGGAGATAGTATTTCCATTTATACAAAACACCTGACCAACCCACGGAACTAAAATTCTATCTACTGAAATGGACACCAGATGCTTCCGTTTTCATTGAACCTTTCTGTAATATCGATTAAGTTGATAAAGATCTTAAAACAAGAGGTGAACAGCAAAAAGGAAAGATTGCCTAATGTAAATATCACTAAAGAGTTGGTCGCAAGTAATTTGAATTTATTAATTAGAAATCCTGAGCTGCGATCAAGAAAATATTTTAATATATCAATGTTTTTCGATTCATAGAAGTGTCAATACTTTTTAGATTCTGAGAAGTTTGGGAACAATTTACGGAAAACATATATCTGTATGAGAATTGTTTATTGTTACCAAAAAACTCATAAAAATCTATGGTACGTTCTACTTTTGGGGGTTCTACATATATAGAAAGGAATGATTATGTTAGGAAGAACTGATTGAAATCTTATTAAGTGCAAAGTTATTCAAAAGGGTTTTTATATTACTGGTCAGGATTACAAGTAACAATGAGTTTCATTTTGTTTTTCATTCGTCTATCTATCTATCTATCTATCTATCTATCTATCTATCTATCTATCTATCTATCTATCACGGTATGTTCATCTCTCTATCTATTTTTCTATATATTTATTTAAGTTTACCGATATCTATCTATCTATCTATCTATCTATCTATCTATCTATCTATCTATGTAGTCCCATATGTTCATATCTATACCATTCTATTGATATCTTTCTATGTCATTTCCATCTCTCTCCGTTTATCTATTGCGTTCTGTTCATATTTATATAGGTAAATCATATATAGATCATTCATATAGATATTTATATAGATAGTTCTTTTCCTTGATATCGAAATTTCTTTCCTCTTTCTTTCTTTTTTTCTTTCTTTCTATCTTCCCTTCTTTCTTTCTTTCTTTCTTTCTTTCTCAATCTGTTGATATCTATTTCATTCTATTCATATTATCTATCTATCTATCCCATTCTTTTCATTTCTGTCTATCATATTTTCTGTTTTGCTATCTCTCTATCTCATTCTATCCACTCACTCTTTTACTCTCCCCTCTCTCTCTCTCTATTTATATATATACTTTTCACATCTACAAATTTACGACTCAACAATAATGAGTGAAGGGTTAAAAATATTTCCTCCTGTACAAGAAGCAATAAAGCAACTGTTATCACCGGCAATGCAACTGAAGTAAGTTTACTGTACAATTAGGTCAGGATAATATTACAGACATATCTGGGCCAGCTTAAAGTTAAGCTAGGTCAAATATTTGTGATTGTCAAAATGGAATGAATATAGATGTCTTGTTTTGGTAAGGAAGCGTGTTTGTCTAGTGCGATGATATAACGGCAGGTAGAAGAACGTAAGAAAATCGAAAATCTGTTTATTGGAAACGGAAAAAAAAATATTGTCCTACCAGAAGTCATTGACTGTATACAAATAAACTGTATCGGTTGTCACGCTCGTGTATTGGCTACAAGATCCTTGAATAGAAAGGACTCGTCCAGCCAAATCTAGGCAAGGCCTGTGTATATCGAAAAACTATATCCGGCAGCAATGGCCTCTGAACAGGAGATTAGAGGTTTTGAGGAGTTGCTGCTGTCGGCAGGTCAACCCAGACCCAAGATGGCGGAACGTGCTAGGGTCACTGATATGGGCATATAGTGAACGCCCAAATAAAAACCAAAACGATTTTTATAATAAAAATACAAAGAATACATTTTTGTAGTGAAATGACCAGCAATACATTTTATAGCAAAATGACCAACAATGTATTTTTATTGTAAAATGATCAATATATTTTATAACAAAATGATTAATAATATATTCAATAACAACATACATTTTTATAGCAAAATGATCAGCAATGACTTATAGCAAAATGACCAGCAATATATTTTATAACAAAATAACCAATGGTACATTTTCATAGTAAAATGACTTATAGTGCATTTCCATAGTAAAAGGACCAATAATAATTTGTTATAGTAAAATGACCAATAATATATATTTATAGTAAAATAATCAGCAATACATTTTATAGCAAAATGACCGGCAATACATTTTATAATAAAATGGTCTATAATACATTTTCATAGGAAAATGACAATCAATATAACACTAAAAAGAGTATAAAAATACACTTTTATAGTAAAATTACCAACCATACATTTTATCATCTACAAACTATATATCTAAAAAAAATGTACGTTTACCGTAAAAGTATAAAATGTTGTACAAAATATCTGTAGTTGAAGTCATAAAATTGCGTACAAAATATTTAGATTTCAGCATTAAATAACCCATAGAGGTTTGATATGCCGCTAAACAAAAACAACCAACCAAGTTAAGCAGTGAATTGCAGCTATTTTGTACACAACATCTAGTTAAGCCCAAAACATGAATCCATCGTGTTAGAAATTTTCTTCATTCGGAGTCAATATATTAAGTGGAAGAAGCTGAGCCAGTTGGTTACAAGAAAAGTCTAAGCAGTAGAAAAAAATAGGTCATGATTTGTAAATGGTGAATTTTTGTAGATCAGATTAAATTCAAATGAAACCGATTTAGAATCAATTTCTTTCTGACCTCACTGTGTTCACGCTACTGCTCTACCCATTTCGCTAGTCGAAATAACAAAGATATCTTTCCTGCGTCTCCTTTGGTGATCTTATCGATTCGTTGGACGTCATTAAAACATATCTCTTTCTCATCTTTCCATTCTGCGTCGGTTAATTTAGACAACCTGTCAAGTGTATCCAGGTTGTTGGGTTTGGCTGTGACAGACCTCTTTGGTAGTTTAAAGTTCGTTAAACTAATTGTAAAGTAATTGAGGTTTACAAGCGAGGAGATTGTAAACCTCAATTACTTATATATGAATTTAATAGAAAACTGAAAACGAAATCAAGAAAAAAATAATTAAAAACTTTCATTCGAAGATGTAGTTGTGTAATAAATTCTGTAGGTAGAAATCTGAAGCCTTAAAATCCTTGTACACACACCGGCATCCACATATACTCACTCCATAAACACAGACATGCAAACACACACACACACACACACACACACACACACACACACACATTTTTCTTTCATTCTTTCTTTCTTGACTCATCCTTTTCTTTCTTTCTTTCTTTCTTTCTTTCTTTCTTTCTTTCTTTCTTTCTTTCTTTCTTTCTTTCTTTCCTTCTTTCTTTCTTTTTTGACCTCATTCGTTTTTTCGTTCCTGGCCTACTTCGTTATTTCTTTTCTCTTGACTTTATGCGATCTTTCTTTCATTCTTTCTTTCTTTCTTTCATTCTTTCTTTCATTCTTTCTTTCTTTCTTTCTTTCTTTCTTTCTTCACCCAATTCTTTCTTTCTCGACCTCACTCGTTATTTCTTTCCTGGCCTCATTCGTTATTTTTTTTGCTTTTGACTTCATGCGTTCTTTCTTTCTTTCTTTCTTTCTTTCTTCTTTCTTTCTTTCTTTCTTTCTTTCTTTCTTTCTTTCTTTCTTTCTTTCTTTACCCCATTCGTTCTTTCTTTATCTCATTGTTTTCTTTCTTTTTTTTTTTGTCCTCATTCATTCTTTCTTTTCTGGTCTTATTCTCTTATTATTTGTTTTTACCGCATTTCTCCTTTCTTTTTTTTTTCTTTCTTTTGTTATTCCGTTATTCGTAACTGCCGTCCATTTTTTCATTTTTTAAATCTCATTCATTATTTTTAATAGCCTCATTCATTTATTATTTCCATATTGACTTCATGCGTCCTTTATTCTTGATCTGAATCGCTATTTCTTCCTTTTTTTGCCTCATTCATTTTCTTTCTTTCTTCCTTTCTTTCTTTCTTTCTTTATCTCATTTATTATTTCTTTTTTTCTTTTTTGCCCAATTCATTTTTTCTGTTTTTTTCACTTCATTTCTTTCTTTCTTTCTTGTCTTCCTTCGTTAGTTCAACTCATTCGTTACTCTTACTTTCTTTTTATATTTCATTCATTATTTCTATCTTAACCTTATTCATCATTATATTCTTCCTCTTTCTTCTTTTTTTTTCATTCGTGATATCTTCATTTATTTTTCTCATTCATTCTTGCTTTCTTTTCTCTTTCTTTATTTCATCTCATTCGCTGGGTTTTCTTTTATTCGCTCTTTCTTTTTTTTACCTTAATCATTCATTCATGTAATTTTTCTTTACATCAATCGTTATTGCTTCCTTCCACATTAGTTTTCTTCTCCTTATTCGTTGCTTCTTCATCCATCTTATTTTCTTTTATTTTTCATTAGTTTCGGTCAATTTCTTTCTATTTACTTTGATTGTTTCTTTTTTTTACTTCATTAATTATTTCTTGTTGTTCTATTCTTTCTTGTTCTTTCTTTCTTTCTTTGATATTTAGATGATGATAATGATGATAAATATCAAAAGACATTTCTAATGAGATGATGACGAATGTCGAAAGCCTTTTTTTAGATGATGACAATAATCTTATGAGACAATAATGATTAATGTCGGAAGACATTTCTCATGGGATGATGATGATGATGATGATATGATTATGATGATAAGAGGATGATGATGAATGTCGAAAGACATTTCTTATGAGATCACAATGATGATGAATGTCGGAAGACATTTCTCATGGGAGGATAAAGATTTGATGATAATGATAATGAATGTCGAAAGACATTTCTTATGATATTTCTAATGGGTTGATGGCAAATGTCAAAAGATTCATATGGAATGATGACAATGATGATGATGAATATCTGAAGACATTTCTTATGGAATGACAATGATGATGAATGTCGGAAGACATTTCTTACGGGATGATGATGAATGTCAAACGACATTTCTCATGGGACAAAAATGATGATGATGAATGTTGGCAGACATTTCTTATGGGATGATGATGATGATGATGATGATGATGAATGTCGGAAGACATTTCTTATGAGATGATGATGACGAATGTCACAAGATTCCTTATGAGATGATGATGATGAGTATCGAAAGACATTTCTTATGCGATTATGATGATGAGCGGATTTCTGGTTGAATCTCCACATATGTTATATTGTAACATAAAATCACTTCAAAGTATGGATCACGGTGAGACGTAACAACTTTTCTCTAAACGGTTTCTCTTTGTCTCTCTCTCTCTCTCTCTCTCTCTCTCTCACACACACACACACACACACACACACACATACATGGAGAGAGAGAAAAAAGTGAGACGGGAGGAGAGAGGGAAAGAGAGAAAATGGAGATGAGATATAGTGAGGGAGCGGAAAGGTAGTGTACGAGAGATAGAGTGAGAGAGAGAGAGAGAGAGATGGAGAGTGAAAGAGAGTAGGAGGGGGAGCGAATGAAAATAAATGATAGAGAAGAGCGAGTTGTTGAATAAGATAGAAAGAAGAGAGTGCAAGAGAAAAGAGTGATCTAGATAAAAAAAATAAAATAGACGAGAAGGTGTGAGGGAGATAGAGAGGAGAAAGTGAAAAAAAATGAAGCGTCAGTGAGAGGAAAAAAAGGAGAGAGAGAGAGAGAGAGAGAAAGATCTTACAACAAAGACTCTCTCTCTCTCTATCTATCTATCTATGCCCTTATATATATATATATATATATATATATATATATATATATATATATATATATATATATAAAGGGCACAGCCGTTCTTATCATTCTTGAGTTCGTGGAGGATTAAAACGCTAATACCCTTGGGAAAATCATGAATTCGCTTCACTTCGTCCCTATCAATGGGTAAAAATCAGAGCAGTAGGAACACTTTGCCTGTCGCAGTCAATCCACCTTGGGCGTCGTAAAAATTCTCTTGTTACTGAAACCAAAGCAGCATTGGCCCACATGGAATCTGCACGAATAAAAAAAAAACAATTCCGTAAATTACGCTCTTTTATGTCGTATTCATCTTGCAAATTCATTCAAACATATGGACTTTATTCAGAAAAGTTAAAACCAGAAGTAATTACACTAGTATGACTCCTAGCCCACTGGGTAGAAAAGAGAGAAAGAGAAAAAAAATTATCATATCGGCAGTCATAGCAGAAAATTTGTTCCATTTACAAGACATTCTTTTGCTTTTATGTGCAGTTCCCCATAAGGACGTGAGCAGTCATGACTCTCCACAACTTCATATTTTTGTAGCTTTTTCTGGAATCAACTCTCAAGAGGATGCTTCCCCGATCATTACAATCCTGTTCAAGTCTAGAATCAACCGTTATCTTACCCACATACCCCTATAATTTGTGCCTTTTACTCTGTAACACTCTACCTCGATACCTCTTGGGCTTTGTACAAGATGAACATCACTGTAAAGAAAGCTTTAAGTAACGTTTATATCCCTACTATCCTTCCCTGGTGTTGTTCTACGATCCAGACAAGCTCCTTAGATAAGTTACTTAGTATTTACCTCTGCCCATCTTGACATCAATATGACAGCTGAGTGTCAAATTCTTCAAGCATTCTTTCTTGATTTAAGTGCTCCAGAAATTTCAACTCTTTCAGATTCTAAGCACAAGTGTCTTTATTGTTTCTGTTTTCCTTAAAACTTCCTAGTTGCTCACATTTTTCGTCTATGGTATTCTTAGGATCCTCCAACGGAACAGTATTTCTGTTGTCGCAAGTCTCCTTGTCATTCCTAAAGAAATTGTCTCGCATTCACTGCTTTAGAGGAGGATTAACATTATATAAAAATTCAGCGCACGGTCTCTTTTTATTTTATCACTTAATATTTTGTTTGGTTTTTGAAAGTATCTTTTGCTAACTCTAATTTCACTTTCAGATTTCTGTATTATATTTTCTGCCATCTTTCAAGAAAAAATTGTGCCTTTAACAAAGACCAAATTGATATGGCCACAAGAAAATTCTGGCTGTTGTTGTTAGTAAGCTATCGGCAGGGGTCAAAGGGTGAAAAATAAAAACATCATCCACCGACAAGATTTTGGACAACCAAGACTTATCGATATATGAACGGAGATTTTATCATCAAGTACGAGAGAACAAAATTGCTATAATAAATCGCTATATTAAAGGTGAATGAAATAAACCATCACAACACAGGGTATATCGATCTTTGACCTCTTCTCTCATTATGTGTCCCCGAAATTTCAACTGTTTCTTTCTGAATCTTATGTACAAGTGTTCTTTTTAATGACATTTTCGTTAAAACTTCCCCATTACTCACATGTTCCGTTCATGTCATCTCTCTTGTGCCAACTTTTTTTTTTCATCTGGGAAGAAATTGTCCAGCATTCACTGTCATATACGAGAATAATATATATATATATATATATATATATATATATATATATATATATATATATATTAGATAACTGTTCAGCATCATTTTTTTCTTTCTGTGACAGAATGCGAAGGCTGGGCCGAGGTGGTCAGCGATTGGTCAGAATATCTCGTGGGCGTGCTGTTCTGACAGTGATGGATTGCATTTGTCTGTCCAAAAGTTCAAAACGGCAACACATGAATTTTGATGCGTCTGTATGCTTTCCACACCCAGCATCGAGAGACAGGCTAAGACCACATGCGGAGGGACGCTTGGTCGGTGTGCGGCTTGTTTTCCCTTGAAGTTCATCCTCCCGCTGCCTTCTAGAATACATGCTGCCACATTTGTCCCTCTCCTCTAATAAAACAAGTAAGAAACAGAAACCATCTTTTGTTTATGGCCTCTATGCGTTATGGCCCAGTAACGACACGGAACGTGATATATCGAATCGGGTACACGTGGGTTTAAATACGGAGAATGACTAACATTAGGTTTTGCGCTTTGATATGTTAGTTTGATATGGGGATGCAAAACTGAGTCGGTCGGTTACAAGAAAAGTTTAAGCACATTCGTAGCTGCTATCCAATCAAATTACACATACTGGCCATTTACAAAGTGACAATGCACTTGGTATGATCACTGTTTTTGCACTAAATAAATTCTATGTTAAGAACTGTATTCATCATCATGCAGGAGAAGCGACGATACCAGAATGCATCTTGAAAAAAGCAACAAGCCGGTGTATAAAGGTTGATGGCTTGTGCGGCTCGTGACAAGCCCATATCTTTCACGCGGAAGTTAGCTTTGTTACGTACCACATATCCAAGTAGAACGGAAAAAAGATACCCCACTCCCTGGGATCATTCGGTAGCACATCATTCAATGCTGATGGCGCGCCGCAAAAGATATGCAAGAATAGATCCAGGAAGAGGGAAACGACTTTAAGATATCATCATAACCATGACAACTAAACTTCCATAGAGCAATTATCGGAATCGATGGAACTGTTACTTTCAGTAATTGGAAACGTTTAGATATCTTGGAGAGTTCATGCCCGATCGATTAAGAGCTGTTCATTGTTTTTTTTTATTGACTGATTCATTTTCTACGGTTTATAACCTGTACAATATTTTATTGTTGCAGGTTATTTAAAGGTAGAAATATTTTTTAGATCGTAAGAATTCTTTTTTGTTGTTTTTGGAGATAATAAAGATTTAGTGATAAAATTTTACTTGTTAGCCCATAGGTGGGGAGAGAAGATGTGGATTCAGATATTTCCCGGGGGCATTTGCACGTAAGTGAATATAACGAACCTAACTGGAATTGGAATTCGGCTCTCTGATTTCCAATTTCGAGCCGTTATTCATTACACCACTCGCACATCCAAGCTTCCAATACTTGGTATTCCCAAGCGGTCACCCATCTATTTACTAACCAGACTCAACGCTGCTTAACTTTGGTATTCGCACTGGAGCCGGTGTTTCAACGTGATGTGGTCGTATAAGTGCTGTCGGAGGAAACATATAAGTGCAATAGATATAAGCAAGATGGTCATGATGCTTGAAGTATCATCTTTTACGTGACTTTTTTCTTCAGCACATGGGGGAAGTAATATTTGTCAACAAAAACATTCTTTGTAGATTCGCCATAAATGTTAACTTCGTTGCAAAGGGCTGCTTCCTAATTGTTGCTGGTCTTATTTTGACGGTCAAATGGAAGCGTTTATTACTAATCCCCTTTAGGGCAAAGAAAAAGTGATGTCTCGGTCAACAGCGAACGAGAGAAAAAGAAAGAGCAAACGAACCTTCGTATGTCCAAAACGAAAAATAAAACAACATTGTCGAGCGACATTGAATACAGTAGAGGGTTCGCAAAGAGTCTAGAGATAATGTTTGTGAAAACAATTCCGTGATACGTATGGATCTCTGTGTAAGTGTAAGTGTATGTGTGTGTGTGTAATATATGTATGGACAAAAGTAACTTTTTGGACGCGTAAGTTTTTTTTTTATTCCATTTGTGTCGATCTATCTGTATGTCGTGAGTGTTCTAATGAGAAACTTACTGTTACCTTCGTGTATGCTCCTGTTCGTTGTGGATACTCGTGTGTGGCTGCAGTGTGTCGCCTTGTGTGTGCTTGCTATGAGTCCTCCAGTGTGCACTCCTGGTTCATTCTTATATAGTCCGGAGATAGGCTCCAAAATGAAACATAACATTTAATATTTTTTGTCGTGTTTCCATTGTTTGAGATTAATCCCGTTGTGTGCTTAATACAACGTTCGCATAAAGACGATATCAAATAATGGTCTTTTAGGTCTATTTTAGATTTGATAAAATTTTAGTTGGAGAGGGGATTTTAAAATGTATTTATTTTGTTGAAAATACATTACCTTTTAACATTGCATTAACCGAAAATGGATGATAAATGCCAGCAAGATATTAGAACGTGCATTCTTCATCTAAATTATAGGGTTTCAATTATTAGGTTGGTGCATAATTATCAAGCGTTTCTTAAACAATATTTATTATGAAAAAAGAAACATAACAATTCAACAATAACATTTTTAAAGGATTATTCCGGAACGTATGATTATCGAGACGCATTTATATAACCTGAAAATAAAATATTTTTATTAAAAAAAGTAAACAAAACAGCAATTTTTATTAACAAATAACTCGCCTACAAAAACGCCTGATAATTATGCACCAACCTAATAGAAAATATGGAAATATATTTTCTACCTCCAATAGATATTGTTAAGTGAAGAGAAATATTTTAATGTTATTAGACTAATGCGACAGCACTTCCCACTTAGCGACGTTACTATAACGTTGGGGTTTACGACCATATCACGTTGAAACACCGGTTCTAGTACGATCACCGAAATTGAGCCTGGTCAGTACATCGATGGGTTACCACTTGGGTGCACCGTGTGTTGTGTGCTTGGATAATTGGGTGGGGTAATGGATAACGTCTCGGAATTGTTAATCGGTGAGCCGAGTTCTAATTCAGTCGGTCTCGCTATATTCACTTACGCGCAGACACCCTTGGGAAAGGCATGAATCCACCTCGTTTTCCCCCTCCTTCTAGGCTTTGTATCAGTAGATCAATATTATCTCAAAAATTCTTACAATGTAAAAATATTTTCTGGCTTTAAGTAACCGTAGAAAACAAATCAATCCTAAATCATAAGGTTGGGAAAACATTGGAGATAGGCGGTCAGTTTTGAGTTAGGGAAATAACTGAAAGCCAATTCACAGCAACGTTGATTGCTTGATTTGTCTGTTTAACGGCACATCAACTCCTTATGGGTCATTTAATACCGAAATTTAATTTTCTTGGGTGCTTAGAAGTAATAAAAATATGATACGTTATTCTGCTTTCACAACTGAATACATGGTAGATGATACTAAGCTTTTGTGCGTATACATGTTTGTGTGGACATGATTACTAGAGGCGGTGATATGTGTGTTTTATGTTGTAGTTTTGTTGAAGTTATATTTTGAAATACAGTTTGATTTCTTTAAGAAATTGTAGGATATTATATTGATTATGATCACGAAAGTTGTTATACCGGAACGTACCTATTTCTATTGTAAATAGACTCTCCCACAGATAATAAGTACTAGTAGTAGCAGTCGCCAGTTAAGCTCAGTGAGTTAGCGAGTCAGTCGATGTCGGACATTAAAGTATCAACCACCACAACTAGATTGCTGCGTCATTAACTATTATTTCAAGTTCCTAACGTTTTGTACGTCGGACCCTTTTAGGACTGACTCAGTAAAATACAAGCCTCCACTGTGAAAACTACTTTACAACAAAGGTTATTTTATGTGGTAGTTTGGTAATATTTTAAACGGATTTGGGTGAAGTTGCTATAATTTGCTAGTATTAGTAACATACAAAAGGTAGAAAAAGAAAAGTACACAAAAAAGGTTGAAAAAAAAGATGCTAAATAAAACAAAGGAAAAAGAAAATCAGAAAAAGTCCATGAAGTAAAACATGGAAACATTCTTTGTCTCAAGAAGAAGAAACAATTCAAATTACTTGATGTCAAACGTGTCAACCATTGATTGGCCACATTCATATGAGCAAAACTCTCAGCCAGACACTCAGTTAATCTTAACAAGACTTAATACGTACGACTTCGCGATGTCTAGCTTACAATTAAATTTCTCTCTCGAATTAAGCGAACTGGAAGGGGGCAATTTTCCGGTTCGTTCTAATTTGACTTATAAGCGATCTACATTTTTCTGACATTGGTCAAACCCGAAATCTTAATAGGGAATACAACACCAGACACTTGTATTTTCGGCCCTCAATACACTGAGATCAGGAAAAGAAAAGACCAGTTCGTTGGGAGATTTCAGAAAACAACTGTTTCTTAATTTTATGTTCTAGAAACAATAAAATAAAATTAAATATTCATTTATCCTGTCTCTACTCAGAGTTTCGTTTGTTCTTTTTTAGCGGCATATCGACTTCTTATGGGTCATTTAATTCCGAAATTTAATTTTCTTGCAAACATTAATAATTTATTTTACAAAAATGTATTGCTGGTAATATTGTTTTTGTTTTTACTTTTTACAAAATAATTATTTTTATTTTTTTTACAAACTAATTGTTTTTATTTTTTACAAAATAATTGTTTTTATTTTTACAAAATAATTGTTTTTATTTTTTACAAACTAATTTTTACTTTTTACAAAATAACTGTTTTTATTTTTTACAAAATAATTGTTTTTATTTAAAAGAATTACTATGAAAATGTATTGTTGGTATATTTTACTATAATTTCTTCTATACATTCATAGTGTTTTGACCTAAGTTTTGGGGTTAACTATTTGCCCATATCTAGAACCCTAACAAGTGGTCCTGGGAACAAGAGTAATTAACAGATGGTTCCATGCCCCTCAAAATCTCACGATCAGTGGCCTTGCTGCCAGACGTAGTTTATCGTCATACCAAGAACGGCGGAGTTTCGTAGAGATTACAACCACTCTTAAGATGACTTGATTTTAAGATTTCAAAAATCATATTTTTCATAAAAGATATTAATTTTCTTTAAAAAAACGTTCATTTCTGATGTAAATTTTTTGAACGTGCTATTTCTTAAAATACGTTATTGTATGTGATAAACTTATTCAAATTGTCAGTTATATATATAATTATATACATGTATGTGTTAGATAATCATGTAGATTTTGAGGCGAATTAAATGTGCAACGAAGTATTTCCGTTTTTGTGCTAATCGTTTTCGAAAATAAATTGTCAGTATAGTGAAAAGTTCTAACTATTTATAGCTTATTAGATAAGAAATATATTAAACTTAGCTGATAACAATTTCAGTTATATTTATACTATCGCAAAATTATAATATTGAAGATTATGGTTGTTTTGATACATTCATAATTACATATATAATTGGAAATTATAATTTTAATTGTTTCGGTTATATATATATATATATATATATATATATATATATATATATATATATATACTTCGTTGCATATATATTCCCAAATATGGTTTGCCACAGGAAAGATCCTTTAAATGACTGATTCAGAAAAAGTTCAATCTAAAGAAACGGTTCGCAAAAAGGTTTTTTTCCTGCCGTGTGTAACGAAGGCCAACTTTTATCTGAACCCTAGACAAAATCCTGTTTTTATGGTTGGAGAATTCGCTCAAAACGGTATTTCTGGACAGATTTAATACGGATCTGTAACTGAAAAAAAAAGACCAAGTTTAATCAGTCCTAAGGTCTTGGTATTCCATTATAGTAATATATTACTCAATAAAACAAAGATCACGTCTAAAAAAGAATGAAGGCATCTTTACTCACCAAATTTCGCTACAACTATGTCGGAGTTTACAGAAACATTCCGATGGATTCGTTCTGGAAACACAGGATGAAATGGAAACAGGCTACTCTATTTCATTTTTCCAACAAACCAAAAGGTTTTTTAAAAACAGTATCCACAGCTGGGGTAGGGGAGTCCGATTCATACCCTTCCCAAGGTAACACACACTGAATTCGAACAATTCGAACCTCTATCCATTACGCCGACGTGACTCTCATATATATATATATATATATATATATATATATATATATATATATATATATATATATATATATATATATATATATATATATATATATATATATATATATATATATATAGGTGAGACAGAAACGTTGCTCGGATTCAAAGGTTAATTAAAAAAAAACATATCAAGATAAAAAGAAAAAAAATGTATCTGTATGAAGTATATTAAAAGCTATTTATTTTCAATTTTAAGTAATACCCCACCATGGCCTGGAGTTGAGAGCATCGTGCATTTGTTATGGAAGATTTTCTTAACAACGGTGAGTCCGTTGTAATGACGCAACGTTCCTCCAGAAGGCACGTTGCTCTCTGTCGTTATGATCCTGTTCCGGATAGAAAAAAAACAATTTGTCGGTGGGTTTCTAACTTTAGACAAACATCATCAGCTTT